TACCTGCAATTGCCAAATTTGAGTGTTTCATCTGTTTCTTGTCAGGACCCTGATTGACACAGCAGAGCTCCTAAGTTAACCCACATAGACTTAAAAGACTTTAAAAGTTATGGGAGAGACTTTTTTTTCTTCTACAAGATGTGGATGACTGAGCACACAGTTTGGAATGTCAGAGGCAGCCACCTTACAGTCTCAGAGAAACCTGGTCTTAACTTGTGAATTAAACTTAAGGCCAGAGAGAATTAAAAAAAAAAAAAAAATGCTGGTCCTTGTTGGGGTCATAGAAGGGTCAGATCAGCAACCCTAATCATACACTACTTCTGGACTTCCAGTTGTGTGATCCAGTAAATATGTATATTATTTTAGTCACTTGAATAGGATTTTTCCAGCTTTTGAAGCTGAAAGTAACTTAATTGATACATTTTTATAAGTAGAATTATTAGGTCAAATGTACACACATTTAAATTTTTAATAGCTTCTGAAGAATTTCTTTCTAAACGGCTATGGTCATTCACACATCCATCCATGTGGTAAGTGAATCTGTTTCCACACACCATTTCCTACCGTCTTTTTAATTTGTGCCTTCCTGATGGGTGGAAACTGAATCTCATTATTGCTATGATTTGCATTTTGCTAATTAGTAGTGTGATTAACTATAATTACTTATATTTGTTGGGCATTTATATTTTCTACTGAGTGAAATGTTTTTTACATCCATTGCTCATTTTCTTATATGATTATGTGCATTCTTCCTATTGATTAGTAAGAACTATTTAAAAACTTTGGATATTAACTATTTGTTCGTTACGTGTGTCGCAAATAATTTTCCCCAGATGTCCTGTCTTTTTAACTTTATTTCATGGTATGTTTTGTCCAAGTGTTGTCCAAAGTTGTAAAATTTTGATGGCATTCAATTTATCATCTTTTCATTCATGGTTTTTGCATTTTATGGGGTGAGGACCATTGGGTGAGGAAGGCTAAGACTTCTCTATCATTTGGCTCTTTGTCCAGGAGTTTCAAACTTTAGGCATTTAACCTACGGCCTTTTGTTACGTGTTGCACTGTGGGCTGTCAAAGTAAGATATTTTATTGCTTTATCTTTTTTGTTTTTGTACATACGTGTACTATTGGATCAATAGCTGTTTTAAATTTAGAGAAATAGACTTTTATAATGGTCCTGTATGGTTTCATTCCTTTGTCTTAACTCTTTTAACGCTTCTATTTATTTCTGCCATTTTGATGAGTAGCTTTGGAGTAATTTGTGCTAATTTGTCCTACATTTTTCCATGAAGGGAAGGAAGCTGTCAAGGAGCATGTTGGCCCGCTTTCTAAAGCCTGGGGTTTCATGGAGACCAGCTTCAGGAAGATGTGATGTATCAGCACACAGGAAGCAAGTCTTAGGCAGTGGGCCCGGGCTGCTTGGGAGAGGAGAGGCTTTTGGGCATTTCGAACCACATCATTCCATCTACACTGGATAAAGTCTGTACTGCAGAGGCTGTCCCAGGATTTTCCTTGGCATTTCCCCAAGTCTGCTAGAGTAAAAATGGCGCCATGCTGGTCTCTGTGGTTCATGGTACCTCATCAGTTCAATGGAGGTGAGTGCCATTTCTTTTCTAGTAGCAATCCCCAGGCCAGACTGCCAGCCCTGCTTGTAGGTAGTTCTTGATAGGACCCAAGCGATAGTGGCTTTGGTCCTCTTGGGGTCCCCAAGGCAGCTGGCAAGTATGTCAGCAAACAGGTCTGGATTTGGAGTTGGAGATTGAAGATTCTAAGTCTAGTTCTACTACTAACTTGATTCTATATAGTTGGCAAGTGTGGGGGCCAGATTAGTTTTACTGCTCCAGGATCCCCTTTGTTTTATGAGTTGTAATCATCAGCCTGATTATGTGAATAAAGTGTATAGAAATAGGGCATTCCATTGATGTTCCCTCAACTTAATAAGGTTATGAGCATATTAAGTGAGCAAACTAGCAGGACTTATTACCAACAAAGGTGGATGATAGTATCTTAGAGTTTGAAAATTGGAATATGGACTAAATGTTCTCTTAAAATCATTTCCATATCTAGGAAATTTGGCCTTGTGAGTGCTTACTGGAATTCAACTCAAGCCACCCCTAATGATGTGCATCAGTGTCATTGTTCTACATGATAATAAAACATTAATAGAAAGGATCTGGCAACTGGATTATGTTTACATAGCAAAACTATGTTCTTTACAGTTTATAACCAGCATCAATGTTGACAGACTTCTGAAGTACAGCTAGGGTATGTCATGTAGTCATAATATCCATCCCTTCCACTTTAACAGTTCTGGGCCATTTCTTCAGTAGATGGACTCTCTGCTCTTCAATTATCAACCCCAGTGGTCAGTAGTTCCCCTTTATTGCCATCATTCCTATTCCCTCTAATTTCTCTGATATTCGTTCATACTAAAGTTTAAACAGGGGACTTCAGAATGGATGCTGAGTTCTGGAAACCTAGGGAGGGCTGGATCGTCTGAATGCTGGAAAGCTATTAAAGGGTCAGGACCAAGTGGAATAAGAGGCTGAGGCTAAAGAGGACACATGTCACCATACTACATAGGTTTTTGCAACCTTCATCTGGGCATGGAAAATCCTAGCTATACCCAGATGCTTTTGAATCAATGAAAATGTAACTCTCTGGGTTGTGTCCCTTGAACCCTCTGAGCATCTCCTGATTGAACCCTCCTCTTCACGTTTGAGGTCAATGCATCCACAAGACTGTACTCTTTTTTTAGAGGCCTGAGAATCAATGTGGCAGAGACACCCTCCCCTTCTGAAATCTGGGCATTAGTCCTGCAAGATTCCTCCTTCAAACTCCTAGTTTCTTTTGTTCCCTTTTGCTTCTTTCCTGTAATTGCTACTATGTTACTATCACAGATACCTCAGCAATTCCTTTTAAATTTTTAGCCTTCTGACATATGTGTACCCAATTCCTTCTATTCAATTTCCTTTGTTTGTACTTCCCAGTGCAGGTTCCGCTTTCCAGACCAGATCCTGACTTAAACAGAGGCCTAAGGGATTTGGGGGGTCAGGGGATGGGGACTTTTAGATTCTATTTTTTGGTGATCATCCAAAGAAAGGGGATGTGCTGACTGATGCATCATGGAGGGGGTCTTCAACTGTTGGGCAGAGGGGACTCAAGAGAGGTGGCACTTTTAAAGCCTGATGTAGGACAGGAGTCTATCTGAATTCATTTTTATACTGTCTCTTAGGGTAACAGATAAACAGGAAGCTGGATTAGGGCCTCAACAGGAAAGGACCATGTTTCTCCAAGGCCAGAAAAAAGATGGGGGTGGAAAGTAGGAGACTCTTTTCAGGGCTAGGCAGATGGACTCTTGGAGGAGCTTATCTAGAAGGTTCTGTATCATTCTTTGCATTTTCCCCCCAGATAGACAGGTGAATATCAAGCTGCAGGTGCCTCTAGTCTGCCTCCTGAATTTCACTTCACTCGTTAACCTGTGCCTCAGCAAACTTTTATGCTTGACTACAGCAGATGGGATGGGGTGTGTGTGTGTAACAAACATGATACAAAATAAATAAATAAATAAATAACAAAAAAACACCCCTCCCAACCAAAAAACCATCACCCTTTATCAGGGACCATTACTGAGGCAGAAGGTGGAGGACAAGCTGGGATCTGGGACTCAGTTTTTCACCCTTTTTTTTTTTTTTTTTGTCTTTTTCCGTGTCCGGAACGGATCGCAACCCTCAGTGTTGCCCCCGTACCGGACCGGGNTGGAGGAGCTTATCTAGAAGGTTCTGTATCATTCTTTGCATTTTCCCCCCAGATAGACAGGTGAATATCAAGCTGCAGGTGCCTCTAGTCTGCCTCCTGAATTTCACTTCACTCGTTAACCTGTGCCTCAGCAAACTTTTATGCTTGACTACAGCAGATGGGATGGGGTGTGTGTGTGTAACAAACATGATACAAAATAAATAAATAAATAAAAAACAAAAAAACACCCCTCCCAACCAAAAAACCATCACCCTTTATCAGGGACCATTACTGAGGCAGAAGGTGGAGGATAAGCTGGGATCTGGGACTCAGTTTTTAAAAAATCACCGCCTACCTCTTTAATCCTTAGGCAGTTCTGAAGTCCACTGTATTTAGGGGTAACTGGGACCAGGTTTGCCTCAGTTAAAGTGACTGTCTGCTCAGTTTCTGTGATTCCCCCTGAGGACGGAGATGCGTCTGAGGTGAAAGCCTGACCTTCCATTCAGTGTGGCCCTTGGTGGGGTAGATGGGTAGCCAGAAATGCCGTATAGATCTTTCCTGAAGCACACAGCTAATTTTGCTCTCACAGGATTGCCTTAGGCCTGACTGTAGAGGGAAAGGCCCCCATTCTAGGCGATGGAGTCCCTGACATGTGAGTGCCTGGCGTTTCCATCCTAACCCTAGAGTGACATGGCAGAACTGAGCTCTGGGGAAGTCCCTTAGTCTCCCCTTTCTGAGAAACCTGCAGTCTGTCATCACTCTGTTCCCTTGTGGTTGATCTTGTGGGGCTTGGCTCAGCACCTGTTTCCCAGGGAGCCCAGACAGGTCATACTTGTGCTGACTCTGTGATTTCTTCATCTGAGCCTCACGGGATCTTCTGGCAGGAGGAACTGGCTTCCTTTCATGTCGTGTTTGTCACGCCCCCCAAAGGAAGCTGGCACCTCCCTCTCTGCTCATCTAGATAAATGAGCCAGGCCCTGTCAGAGCCCTTCATTGCTCTTGGAAGCTGCTGGAGCCACAGTCCAGTCCCCTGGACTTTTGATCAAGGCCCTTCCTTGCCAGGTGCAGCTGATAGCTGGAAAATGCTCTGACTTTGGAGCCTTCCCTTTTTTCTGTGCTTTGGGACTCAACCAAAGGATGGGGTCATGGCAGGCTTGCTCCTTGCCCTGTGCTGTGTGGGGCTTGCTGCTTCCCACTGGGGGGTTGCTGGGATCCTGGCAGAGCTGCCCCGGCATGGGGCCTCCCCTGATCCTAGGCAGAAACAGATGCCTGGGGAAGGGAAGACTCTGGCATCAGGGGCTTGTAGGGTATTTAAGACTCGGAGTCATGGCTGGCCTTGGAACTTGTAGGGAGATACTGTCATTAGCCAGATCTCTAGGTGGAGGAAAATTCTGCCTGACCTCCCTTCCCTGAGGCTGCTCTGAAGTTTTGTCCCAGGAAGTGCCTCAGATCTTCTTGCTGGAGCTTTGTGTCAGACCAGACTTCCCAGCTCCCTGTCCAGAAAGAGAGCCTGAGGAACCAGTGTTCTGAAAGGTCTTGGAAACATCTTCTGCAGCTCATCTCTTTTATCTCTGTCTCCATAGGTACTGAAACAACCTCACTATGACAGGCACTCGAGGAGTCTCTGTCCCTGATGACCATAGCAGTGCTCAAGCAGGTGATGTTGGGATGGGGCTCTCTGGGCCTAGGCCACCTGCACTCACAGCTGTGTCCTCCGGAAGCCCCAGCATTCTCTGCTGCTCCCCATGTGTGGCTCTTACCACCTGGTGCCTGTCCACCACCACTGGACTGGGGGCTAGCTCCAGTCCCCAGCATCTGTCCCCCAAGCACAGAGTAGGCACAAAAGAGGGTAGCTGGGCCCTGACACTTGTGTACTGTGGAGCTGCTTATTACTCTCTGTCTGGAAGGTTTGCCCTCTTAAACCATTTCCCACCCCTGGGAGCCCTTGCCCTCCTTACCAGAGCGCATGACTTTACTGGAGAGAAAGGCTGGGCTGACAGGTCACTGCCAGTTTCGGTGTGTAAACCCAGACGTTCCTTACTGAAGGGCCTGGATTAAATGACTTTTCCCCTAGTTAAGCAGCCTTGATTACCAGTTTCTTCATTATTTTTTTTCTATCCAAAATGTAGCGCCTAGACCTCTGAATGCGACAGTCTCTGATTTGAATCAGCAGGTGTGGATCCTCCAGGGTCAGACCCTTGTGACAGTTCCACGGAGTAACAGTGTGTCTCCAGGTAAGTGGCCATCCCATGGCTGCTCTGCCCCTTCTTGTATGGGTGTAGCTGGGATGCTGGCATTGGCCTCGTGTTAAAGTGTGGCTTGACAAAGGGTCCTACCTAGAGCAGGGAGAATTTCAAACCTTCCTGGGAAGAGAAGTCAGAGAGAAGTTTGTCACAGACTAGGGTAAAGAAATCAGAGATGGTCAAGGAGCCTCCTGTGGAATAGGAGAGCTGCTTTCAGTGACCTGAAGGCCTGTCTTATGGAAGACGAGTAGCTTGCTCTGCATGACTTCAGTGTCCTCGAAAGACTAAATAGGTGTATACCACAGGATGGCAGATTTCAACATCACATTAGGTGAATCTTGCTAATGCATAGAGCTCTCCAGGTATCAGAGGGCTTTTTTGGGGTAGGAATTTCTCATCCCCAGGTATTCAAGAAGAGTGTTGAAAATCTCAAGGGCAGGTCTGCTATCTGTAACTCTCTGTATTCTCTCTATCTACTAGGGAAGTGATTGGCAGATGGTATGAATGGATGAATGAGTGAGTGAATGAATACGGTAGTTGGCCATTTGGTGGACCTGGGGCGGTGTCTTTTCCACCTGTGAGGTACTGCCTTCCTAAATCAATGAGCCTTTTTTTTTTTTTGCCTTAAAAGAAAACTAACACCATCTTTCCCTCTTATCTTTATAGTCACTATCGCTGTTGTCACATGCAAACATTTAACATCTTTTGAGCAAGGCAAAGGGTCTCCCATTTATTTGGGAATCCAGAAGCCAGAAATGTGCCTGTTTTGTGAAGATGTTGGAGGAAAGCCCACATTGCAGCTGAAGGTGAGTGACTAAGAAAAATAAAGTGGGGGGGGGGAAAGCCAAATTTTTTAGACAAAGTTTATTTGGTAGAAGTCTCTCCCTTATTCTCATTTGGAATTGCTATTCATCCATAACTGGAGCTGCCAGATCTCACTTCAATGTCTCATGATATCTCATCTAATTATCCATGCTTTCTATCCTTTCATTGCTGGTTTTTTTGTTGTTGTTGTTGTTTTAAAAAAAATTTTGGTGAGATTCAATAGTTCAATCTCCCAGCTCATGATTACATTTTCAGTCTTTTTTCCCATCTGCTGAATTATCCTTCTATAGCACTTTCTGAAATTTCAGTCTTACGGTTTTAATTCCCAAGCTCTCTGGTTGGTTCATTTTTAAAAAAATAACTTTCTGGGGCCGGCCCAGTAGCGCACTGGAGAGTGCCCCGCTTGGGAGTGCGGCGGCGCTCCCGCCGAGGGTTCGGATCCCATGTGGAGACTGGTTCCCGCTCACTGGCTGAGCGCAGTGTGGGCGCAACACTGAGGGTTGCGATCCCGTTGCTGGTCCCCGGTACGGGCACGGCACCGAGGGTTGCGATCCCATTACCGGTCAGTAAAAAAAAAAAAAAGACAAATAGGAAAAAAAAAATAACTTTCTGTTCTTGTTCCATAAACTTTGGTTTAATTCACTTCAACTCAATCCAGCAATTGTGTGGGTACTTCTGGGCCTCCAGCACCATGTCGGTGCTTGAAATATATCCGTGCACATCCATGCAAAGAGCTCTGACTGTGTGGGGGCTTGATTTCTGGTAGGAAAAGAGAAACGGCAAACAATAAATATAATAGTAGGTGAATTTGTGCTATGTTAAAGGGTGTTATGTCTCCTAGACAATAACAATTAGAGAAGGATAAAGAGACAGGCAGAAACAGGTGGAGTCAGGCTGCAGTGTGGTAGGTGTCATTATGAAGGTAAAATTTTAGCAGAGAATAGAAGGAGGGAGGGAAGTTATTCAGCAGGGTATCCAGTGAGAGCAAGTCCCAGGACCAGTGAAGACAGATGAGCAGGAGTGAATTGAGGAAGGAGTTCAGGGAGATGAAGGCAGACCACGAAGGGCCTTGCAGTCCTTTCACTAAGATATTAGCCTTGCAATCTAAGTGAAATGAGAGGCTCTTAGAATGTTTCATAACAGAAGAGTTATGCAGATTGACTTAGTTCTAAAAAGAATCACTCTGGATCCCAGTCAATGGTAGATTGCAAGGAGCAAGGGAAAAAGTGTTTCAGGAGGCTTCGAGGTGATCTAGGTGTGATTTGATGGGCCAAGGGATAGCAGTGGAGGTGGAGAGAAGCAGATCAAATTGTGGAAATAAAAAATTTTAAGTGGAGGTAACAG